CAGTGCCAGCTCCTGGTTATAAGAGAAACTCGTGACCTAGGACGGATTTCCACCAAGGGTTAAATTACAGAGGTGCTGCACACCTTCAGCTTCCACCCAGTTCAATGGAAAGATTTCTAGGGTGTCCCTAAGCAGACTCAGTCACCATCAGATTTTCTTCTGCAGCTGTGCCTGTGCTGCTTTCATGACAGCTGCACGCTGATATTTAGGGAAACAACTGGGAGATTTCAGACCAGTCCATTACAGCAAAAAAAGAACAGAGCTTGCTACCAGACAGAGATCTCATTAGATGAGAAATAGCTTTACAGTGAAAATCATGGGAAGCGCTTTTCAAAACTTGCATCTCAATTAAAAGAAAAGACTTCTTTTTCATTATACTCTCTTCATATCTTTTACATTAATGTAATGGAAAACTGAAAATTCACACAGTATCTCTGGGAAATGAAAAAAAAATATTTCTGCTTTTCTGCAAAAGGCAGAAGTCAAATGTCTATCTGTATAGAAGGAACTTGCTTCATAGGCTTTAGAATTACCAACCCTGTGAACTGAAATAAAAGGAACAAATAACAGTGAAAAGGTGGAATGTCTCCTCCTACAGCTCATGACTCTAGGAGCTCAATAATACTTAGATCCATTTATAGTCTAATCTTTAATGCATTCATGCATCAATGGTTGAGATGGCCAAACTCTTATCTCTTGCCTGTAATTATTAAAATTGCATGTATGGATATCCATCTCCAGGAATTCTTAGGGAATTTTCCAGATACAAGTTTATTAATATTCCCCCCATTGCACAAAGTACTTGAATACCAATATTCCATTTTTATGGAAAGAAAACAGTGCATAAAACTGAGTTCCTACTGAAATCAATCCAGAAGAGCATGAGGCCCCAGTTACTTGCTGAGCATTATAGTGAGCAATTGTGCTGGGACTATGACCAAATGGTTGCATTCTCCACTCTGTATTTTTACCAAAGCAATACCTTCTCCTTTATTAAAGAAATAAAATTATTCCCTAAATCATATAAAATTGTCAACCTATATATATAGCCACCACCAATCTCTCTTAATTTACTATCCATTTTTCCTTAGGGAATTATAAACCCAAACACATTCATTCAAAATATAGTCATGCATTCATAACACAGAAAAAAGTTTGGAGAGTTGGTTTTGTTTGGCTATTTATTTATTTATTTTTAGCTATATTATGCATTTATGGAAAAATAATTCTAGGATGTAAGGTGAGATACCATTTCTTTTTTAAAAAATTATTCCAATCTAGAATTATTTGAATCAATACATGTAGTAGACTAATGAGGAGAAATTACAGGTACAAACATCTTTTTCTTGACAGTACAGCAATCAATATGTTCAAGAACCACTTTCTGACTGGCACTTTCATGTGAGACAGAACATTCAATCAAAATATTAAAAGTGAGGCAAAAGATGACGATTACATTATGCAATTGTCTGTGCCCAAGGATTTTAACCACCAATATTTCAAGGAGAATGGGACATCCAGAAGAGAGAGAAATTCCATTTTCTAGTTTTATGCATTTGTGAAATAAAACCTAAACTGGTTTAATTATGAAATAAAATTGCTACCTCTGTGCAAAATGTAGCTCACCTAAACCTACTCCTATTGGCACAATATATCTGCTAATCAAAATGTCTTTGATTTTTACAAAGCTAAGGAAGGCTGATTCCTTACTGGAGGTTGAATCCTAGAAGAACATTTAAGCAGCTCCCAGAAGACCTCAGCAGTGTTATGTCACCCAAATCAGATCTTTAACACTTAACAAGACTTGCCTTGGGAGAAATAAGGACAAGCAAATCCAGTCTCACCAGTGAGCTTATCCCAGACAGAAATGTGTCATGAATTAATCATACAAACAAACTCTTGTACCTCAGCTGGAATGGAATACTGTTTTATTCTTAAAAGGATGCCACAATCCCTATGGGACTTCCAAGCTATTAATGTCTCTACTCACAAATGATGCTCAATGTTCTAATGGGATATGGAAAATGCCAAAGTAACTCCTCTCAAGAGAGGCAAGGCCAGAAATGAAAATATTTGCGAAACAATAAAGCCACAGGAAACCAAACCTTTTTCTAAGCTGTCAAGCAAAGAAATGAGAAACAAAACAGCTTGGTGAAAGCAAGTGGCCCTTTGGTGAGAGAAGAGCCCCTGACAGCTGCTGCCTGCCTAAAGACCTCAGTGCTCTCAGAATGCCAATTATGACATGGGGAGGATGGATAATTGACTGGAGACCCCAAAATATGAATCCATCTGTTCAAACTTGTCATACCATGTACAAAATTGGTTTCTAGTAGTGCACAGGATTTTCTTCACACTTACCATAATACAGTGCAAGACTAATGCTATCAAGATGTATAGTGCCAGAGAGAAAAAAGAAACATTTTGGCCATTATCTGCCAATTTTTTTCAGACAGATGCAGTAAAAACTCTTTTCCTTCACCTCATTCTCCCTTCCTCTCTATCTCCTGTGAGGAGTCCCATAGCTGTTCACAGCTGGGATCTCTGGCACAGACATGAGGCCTCTTGCCCAGCCTTGTACAATGTACAAAGCAAAGTGACACAGAGTCCCCAGGCAGTGCAGAGGAGAGTGGCTTTATTGCAAGAACCAGGCCTTTTTAAGCAGTTTTAGCAGTTTACACAGTTTTAAGGCACAACAAGCCCAAGCCAACCAAGCACCGCGATGTGGACACGCGGCAGCCACGCAGCGCGGCTCTCACAGCTCTCACAGCTCTCAAATCTCTCTACCTCTATTCCAGATGAGTCATTCTCCCACATTTCCCTTCTGCTTAGCCTAAGGAGCAGGCCTGAGCCACGACTGTACAAGGGTAACAAGGCCCTTATTTTATAAGGCTTTACCTATATGTGAAAGTATAAGAAGGTCACTGGCAGGAGCAGAGCAGATCTTGCAGAAACCAGTGCTTTATCAATTACCTTTCAGATGTGTATCTTATGGAGTGAAGTACCTCTAGCATTTGTGTTCTCAAGCCACTTATCTGGTGGGTATCCTCTGGAGGTCCATCTGAAAGGAGATACCATCTTAACTAAGCATGCATATTAGAGAAACCATAGACAAGAATGCTAAGTGTGAGAACACTTAAAAAAGTGTGAGCTTAGAAAAGCTAGTGGCTAAATAGACTCCTTTACCCTCAATTCCTCTGGTTTATGCCAATTTAAATGGTTTATCCCAGTTTCACAGGGACTTTTAACCATTTTTTGATATCTCTGAGCACAGCAGGCTCTTCAGAACTTTTCCACCCAGTTCCCTGCCTTGGTCTTAGTTTAGCTGATAGCATGGGAAGGAGACATGTGTGTGTCTATACACAACCAGGTGCTCAGGACCCTGAGAATCCACTCCACCTCTGTGTGATCCACAGGGGACTGGGAAAGAGACAGGGTTCATATAATGGTTTCCACCAAAAGATCAGCCCATCCTGGATTAGGGGAACTGGACAGATATGCAGATTTGGTCTTTGTCCTGTGAATCCACCAGTAAGGGGAATGCTGGGCACCTGGACAAAACAGAATGAGCCATTTGCTTATGGTTCCATTGACCAGGGGAATGCAGACACCAGGGTGGAAACGCTTGGGCTATTTTGTCATGGCTTCATTGGTCAGGGGAATGTGGGCACCTGCATTGCACAGCCTGGGCAATCTGCCCACAGCTCTATCAAACAAGGAGCTATGAGCATCTCTGATCTCACCAAGCAAGGCTGTCTGCAGCTTTGTAAGTAGCTGACAGTATCAGAGAAGAGAATTAAAGGAAAAAAAAGAACAGAGTTAATAAAATAGAAAACACTGTGGACAGGTGGGAGAGGTACCACTGCCTTTGCTGGGTTCAGTGCAAAGCCTGGCAGCTGATTCTGTTAATTAAGGGTATTTGTCTCTCCATGTGCCATCACCATGCAACTGAACTATCTCCTAGGCATGTACCACAAGCTCTTTTGTGGCTTCTGCAAGCAAAAAGGAGCAAAAGTACTCTACATGCTGCAACCATTTAAACTGATCACTAGGAATAAAGAAAAAGAAAAACTGAGAATAAGGGAATCCCTATGGAAACAAATATTTCACTCTGCTAATACTAACAGAGTGAGTCAGACAGACACTGTCACCACTTATAAAGCAGGGCCAAAGAATCCCAAGGGTAAATACCACTGCCATGATGGAAAAACTCAAGCAGAGGAGAAAACTACTGTCAAATTGGAGTTAGCACATCTAAGCCTGGAAACAGTGCTAACAGTTCTCTATTTCACTGGCCAGGACTGTGGTGCAGCCCTCCATTATCAACCTCTCCCAAAAGCATCAGAAACAAGCACACCCCAAGATATAGAGAAGGGTAAAGTGCTGGTGAGCTAAAGTACAACAGTCACTGTTAAACACCAGATTAGAACTGTGATGCTCAAAGCCCAGCTGTTGCTGCTCTGGAGAACTATCAAACAGCAGAAATGCTGTGACAAAAGAGTAACAACCTGCAGGGAGCCAGCAGGCACCAAGCACCTCGGGTCCTGTGAACTCACTGCTCTGTAGCTGCTTCTGAGTAATAAACCACCTGGCTGTGTGTGCAGACAGGGCTCCCTCAGTGCTCACTTGCCCTAAACTAAGCTGTGTTTCCACCACAGTTCAGGTGACCTGGGAAAAAAAGTATGATCACAGTTTCCACTTCTTTCATAGATGCCCTTAGTGCCTTTGTGTACCTGACTCTAGAACTCACGCGAAAGTCATGCTCCTAAAATGCTTCCAGAAATTGGGATGGCGTTAACACTGCATTTATTGGATTTCTCTGAGTGACACTGTTGTCACTGGGCTCAGAAACACAAGGAAGTAGATTTCTCTTGTCCTTGACATATTGCCTGAACTGCAAGAAGTGAGGGCTTTCTGCTTTTTCCTAAAGATCATCTTGGGATATTTGCTGCGTATGCAGAGCACTATTGTCAGCTCTGGGGTGTGAACTTTGTCTCTTTCAGGTGATTTATCGTGCCTTAAGTCCGGCCAACAAGATTGAAGACCCTTACAGCCCTGAGGCCCAGGATCTCCTGAAGCTCACCAACCTCCGCCTGCTTCTGTTGAAAAGACAGGAATGTCCCTGCCATGGCTCAGGATTGGTAGAGAAACCCCAAAGATTTGCCCACTATGCTATTTATGACCTGATCATCCGGGGAAGCTGCTTTTGCAATGGGCATGCAGAGGAATGTGAGCTTGCCAACAGGACGGGAGTCATGGAGAACATGGTGAGTTCCAGACATTTTTCAGCTTACTTGACTTGCTACTTGCTTCTGCTGCCTCAGCCTAAATGTGCATTTTATGTGTGATCCTGTCCCAGCCTCCCTAAGCTTACCCAAAAACAAGGGCAGCACAGTCAATCCACATTAGTGAAACCTACACCACTCTGGAAAAAATATTCCCTATACTCCTTTCTATAGTTTCAGGTATAATAACTGCTAAAAACTCTGGAACTCTTAAACACAAACAAATTGCTAAAAACCATGAACCTCAAGATACCTATAAATTGAAAGGGGTCTTCATAATTGGAACAGAGATCCAACCCCAAATATAGTGAGTGAAATCTCCTACTTATATGCCTGCACAGAACTGAAATAATATCTTTGATACAAAGTCTGCCCTGGGCAGAATTTCAGCATCAGATCTCAGATTTTCTCAGTCTGTGTGACATGAGCAGTTCTGTCATGCTTAGGGTTTCAGCCATCACTTTTAGACTTTCAACCTTCTGTTACTTTCACAACATAGACAGCAACGTTCAAGATGTGAAAATAACATCTGCTCTCCCACTCTTTTATCCATGCATCTTAAAATAAGTTAGAATATTTTTTTAAAAGCCAAACCTTGTAGTAAAATTATTCTGTAGTAGTTGGAGTGTCCCTTCCCCGTTCAGTCTTTTATCTGCATTTGACTCTAGATGTGCACAAGAGGAGTTGTTTGAATGCACACTCAGACATTGAAATTCAGAGGAAATGATTGATGGCACCTTTTTGATTTAGCTGCAAGCATTGTGTAGAGAACTGTAATAACAGTCATGAGGAGATTTAATCTAATCAAATATCCAGGTACATCTACACACATACATCAGAGATAGAATCCAAGCCACTTTAAACTAGTCAATATCTCCCCTGGATCCAGAAATCTCTGTCTCTGTATTGGGTTTTGAAAACCCAAATAACCCTTAAGACTCTAGCCCCCAGTGCACTCTGACATAAAAGACTCAAGAAAAACATTATAAGCTAATTTCTGTCCCTTTAGATACACGGTACACTTGACATTTTGGTTTTTCTTATTTTGGAACGTGTATTCATTGTCTTCCTTTCAACTTTCCTAGGTTCAGAGGTAGATATTGCAAGATAATTAGGACTGTATGACTTTCAAATAATTTCTGAATCTGTTCCATCTGTGGTACAAATCCAAGATTCAGCTATACTATGTGATACTATCAGATTCAAATAATATAGACCCACTTAAATCATAACTGTGTGGAGAAAAGCTGTTTAGAGAGTGGATCATCCTTACTGCAAACTGTTAAATGGACACATAGTGAAATCAAATAGATGAATAACACACTAAGTGAATGCAGCTGGTAGAAAAATAAACATTCTGCCCATCAGAAAAGGAAAACACAAAATTGTGTGTGTTACTGGCATAACCACTGTAAACTATGACTGGATATTTTTCCCACTGGTCACAAGGGAATAGAATCTTTTTGTGCCATCAATGACTTCACAGGGCAGAAGGTGAAATAGTTTTGATGAAATGCACTTCACGAGTGACTCATGTCCCAGGAGACAGAGGGTGGATGCAGCACATGATTCTCACAGATATTATCAAGTTTTTGTCTAAGCAAGAATTCAAACACAGCTGTGCAAAAAATAAGAAAAGCCTTCTGTAGTTTTAACTATCTCTAGAATCCTAGAGGTGGCCTGGAAAAGACCACAAGTGGGGTGGTTTGTGTCCTCACTTGTGTCCTCACTGAAAGGTGTGATCAAGCACCCCTGAACCATCCACTAGTGAATGCTTGTTGAGTGAGATTTTTCTGACAAAGAACATTCAAACCTTCAGTAGTTGTTCTGGTTTTAACATTTTGAAAGCTCTTCTTTAGTGCCTGCCTAAATAATCTCTGCTGCAAATTAAGGTGGTTCCTCCTTGTCTCCTCTTTCCCAAGAACCAAAAGGAGCTGTTGATCCTCCTTCTGCAGATATGATGGGAAGGTTCTCTCCATATCCTTCTTTAGGTTCTATTTCTGTACTAACCACAGAAGTGTGAAACCTTAGGTGGTAAAAATTTAAAATTCCACTCCCGGATCACACAAGCCTGGAGTAAAGATGATCATGCTACTGTATTCATCTTTTCTGTACTTTGGACATTACAACTCAAGCCTTTCTCAAACACAAGAGAAAACCCATTCCTGAAAGATCCAGGTCCTTGGATCCTTTTTCATTTTAACTAATATTTGCCAATAATTATATTGTAGTGGTGAGGGGAGAGTTCGATAGGTCCAGACCTCAAGGTTCGGTTTACCCAGCTGGCATGAGGGAGTTTATGTAAGTGTGAAACTTTTTGGCTTGAAACACAGCAATCTCCTTGCCTACAAGCAGGAGGAAAAGGCTTTTGTTGTTGAGGGTTCAACACCAATGATACAGTTCCCATCAGCCAACCTACACTGCAAAAAACTCTTTGCCATTTTGCAATTTCTTGGCAGAGGAAAGGTGCTCTGCTTTCAGTCACATGGTAATGGTGACCCACATAAAACAGGGTGTGGAAAAGATGTTACAAACACTGCACATCCAGAAATAATCTGATTCAATCCACAGGCCACATCTAATATTTAAGGTACACATGGGCAGAACAAGTCCCAAGACACACAGTTTTTAATGTACATCATCCAGAGATTGAAGGCAGAGCAGCTTTGTTTCCTGGGCTGCTGTTAGGTAATTAAGTGAAATGCTGCAAAAAAATAAAGACCTCCACAGAAAGTCTTAAGTACTATGAGTTTCAGCCTCTTAATTGCTCATAGTCCTCCTATGATGTATTTATTTTCTGTACTTAACAAAGACAAAAACAATTTCATGTAGAATACAACTGTAATTGTTTGATATGGGATAGGCCCAAAATCTGAGATCATTTTGCACTTGGGTCTTAGAAAATACATTGTTGTGTTAAGTTGCAAGTCTGCTCTTCCTACTCTGAGAGATATCTCTTCCATTTGTAATTCTCCTCATGCTGCTAAACTGATACTACATGAAGGCTAAATAGTGGAGAAAATTAAAGCAAATTTCTTGATACTGTGGAACCAATATTTTTCAACACCATTTTGGAGGGACTGGATGAGCTATGGCTGTTGGATAATCTACCAAAGATCAGTTTATTGTGGATATGTCTCTTCAGTCATGGCAACCCATTCAGCTTCTGGCTTCTCCACTGAGACTGCCAATAAGAAATGCAGCTCCATGAGAAGCAATGTCACAGATGACACAGTGTCATAGCAACAAATGGATACGAGAAAGCTGCAGATTGTAAACCCAATGTCCAAATGATGCATCATTCCTCATATTTTGAAATCCTACAGAGTTGCATGCATATTTCTGGTCATAAGTTTGTGAAAATACAGTAAGATCCAAAATAGGTGCATAGGATCCAATGAAAATATTCTCTGACTTCTTATTTTGGAGCAAAACAATAGTACTTACTCTTTCTGTGGGGCTTTTTTTTTTAACAAGCCATGAACCCCTCTCAACACAATTTATCTAGATGACATTTCCTGCAAAAACTACTGAGAATATCATGCTGGATAGGAGGAAAACTTTGAGATATCAAGATGGGAACTGTAAGTAGGCAAGAAACTTCAGGACAAACATGTCTTGAATTTGAGGTCTGTTGCTATTGACAGTAATGTTTTCTTGGTTTCTATTTAGCTTTCCTTGGATTAGAAAAATAAAAGGAGACACAGAGATGTCATTCCTCACCCAACTTCAATAGCTTTCTATGGTAGCTAATGGCAAAATTCTCCTTTCTGAATATCACAGCCTGCATTTTTCAAACTCTTACAAATTGTTTCCCAGTCGTTTTTTTTTATTATTTTTTTAAATTAATGTGGGTTATTAACATGCTGTTACAAGTGAAACAACTGCCAGGACCCAGCCAGCTGAATGCATCTAGTCTTGTTCTATGGTTGGATGCAGCAGAACACAATCCTGTCCCAGGTATTGACACTGCAGGATCACAAAGTTATGTGTGCTTCTACAGAGCTGCCAGGTTTAGGATCTGCTTTGATGGCTCATTTTAGGTGAGTCCAGAGGTGCTTCCAGAACAAAGTTTACAAAGCAGAAAGTGCACATGGACAGAACACAAAATCTAGACCAAAGTCCTTTTTGTTTGCCAAACATTTCACAATTCTCTTTCTAGCTCATGAGAAGTAAGTTCGGAAAGAGGAAAGCAAATGTGGATGAAAATGTTTTTGTATAAAGCATTAGGGTTTGGTTTTGTTTTTTTTTTTTTTACTTGTTAATTATTGGTACCTACAGTGCCAGGAAATTCTTACAAGTGGCCTCGGATGTTTCTTTTGCTTCTTTATCCTGTTTACAGAGACAAACTAGACTCCCTGTGGGCCTGATCCTGCACAATGAAGCAAATGGAAAGTTTTCCCCTTACTTCAAAGGGAGCAGGATCTGGTTCTAAGTAGGATTCCTTGTTTGGCATAATGGGGGTTACATAAGGTAAAACTTGCTTTTGTACATCAGTTTTCTAGGTGACCAGGCTGTTGTAAGCCTTGTAAATATTATCTACCTCCTCTTCAGATATCTTATGCAGTTCTATTCATAATCCCCAGCTAAGTTTTCACATTATCTGATTCCAGCTGTGCCCAGAACTCAGAGGTGCAAGAGGTGCCACTCACTTTCAGGACATTTGAACAGTGGTATTTACTCATCACTCTATGATTCAGGCACTCAATATTTGAATACTGAGTCTCATTCCCCTTTCTTCTTCCTCCATTCTTAAGACACTCACCAAGAGGATCTACTGTAACTCAGATGCTGCATTTCAGCCTGACAGCTGCTCATCATGTGCAGTTTGTTACAGATTGATAATGGAGCTACTGGCACTGCAGGCAAAAACAAGAGGACAGCTAGTCCCCAGAACCAATAATAATCAAGGTAGAATTCAGAAAGGAGACAATAAGCAAGCAGAATGAAATATGAACTGAGGGAGGTGAATTCAGGCAGAA